CGTGTCGCAATTGATCACCTACAATGTCAAGGAAGTGTCGTCCCCGCATTTTCTCCCGAGACTTGTCAAGCTTTGCCATTCGACGAGGTGTTCTCTTCTAAAATAACTTCGGGCCCAGCAACCCGGAATAGCTGCTGGTAATACCTACAGTCTTCGGGCAGAAATCTTCCAATCCTGCCATGCCGACAGGACGGCTGGGCACCTTGGCTACAGCAAGATGCTCGCTGGGATTTAGGAAAAGTACTACTGGCCGAGGTTACCGAAGACTGTTCACCTCTACATTTGATCATGCAATGAGTATCAGCGACACAAGAAACCACCAACGAAGCCGTCAGGACTACTGCATCTGATTGCTCCCTCGTCCACGCCGTCCTGGCGTGTCGGAAACGACCATACAGCCGTTTGCGAGAAACGGCTGTATGGTCGTCACCACAGATTATTTCACGCGGTACACCAAAAGCGCTTCCTTCAGGGATTGCTGTGGAATTCGCCAAGTTTTTCATCAAGTTTATTGTCCTCCGGCATGGCACTCCCGAAGTTTTGATTACAAATCGCGGGTCATCGTTCATGGAACAGCTGAGGCAAAAGATCCTCCGTCTCCGCCATACCAACAACCGGCAAGCCACAGCTTACCGTCCTCAGACTAATCTGCTGACGCAACGCCTAAGCAAGACCATCGCCGACGTCATGTCGATGTGCGCCGACGTGGAGCACAAGGCGAGGGACGAGGTCCTGCCCTATGTCACGTTCGCCTTCAACACAGCGGTTCAAGAGACTACTTGTGCTACACCAGTCCAGCTGGTGCGTGGTCGCAAAGTGACCATGATGCTTAAAGGAGCTGTGCAACGATTTTAACGTTGAAAGAATTGGCATCTTCTGCTTTTGATATTTTTCACCCTGCCACAAATGACAGAAAACACACATCCTGTCATTGAAATGTTGCGATTCCGCCGCGTAATAGTGAGGCAAAACTTTGAATATTCCCCGACCCGCAGCCGCGAGCGGCGGCCAGGAAAAACACGCGGTGTGACGTCAATGGAGAATCTTGTAGAAAGACAGCAAGTTGTGCGAATACCTGCTCGATAAAAGGTAACTGTTCAATAAATATTGTCGTTCTAACGTACGTATAAATGAGTCAAAAACCTGGTATCATCGACAAAACTTTTATTATTTGGAGTTTTAGTGGCGCCAGGCCCGCCCCCCCCCCCTCCCCCCCCCCCCCCCGAAATCTTTGATTTTGCATGGGTCCTCCTCTCCCCCTCCCCATCATACAACATTTTGTCGTGGGTGGTCCACCCCCCGAAACAAAATCCTGGCTACGTGCCTGCCTAGGTCCACAAAACCGTCAGCTCTCTCTGCTACAGCGAACAGCCACCAGAAGCCAAAGGGGGAGGGGGACAGGGCCGGACGCGTATCACCGAACCCGAATGAGACTTTCCTCCTTTCACCATATTGTTCACGCGGCGCCCGCCAGCACGTGGTCACGCGGTCGCGAGCGGATTATTTCTTGCTGCTCACTGATGGCTCTAAAGAGAGAACTTTTCCGGAACCCTGCGCCTACCCCATCAACGTCACTGCGCACGTGACCCGGAAGACGACGTACGAGTTGAGAGGCGGCAAAAACTTGGATCTTTTTCATTTTTTAAATAAAAACTAGGGTATTCAGGCAAAATCTGTTTTCTGTAGTTCACTTCAGAAGTATCAGGCATCAACTCCCACAATAACTTAAGCAAAGCCCTGATATTGTTGCACAGCTCCTTTAACGCCATGCTACCTCACGAGCCAGATGGCGACGGAAGTGATGAAGCCCAGGTGGTTGCGCAATGTGCAGAAGAAATCCGACAGCTCACCTGAGTCCGGATTCAAGACCAGCAACGTGCTAACGCTGGCCGCTACAAAATTCGTCGTCCGGACGTTCACTTCCAACCAGAAGGCAGGGTGTGAGTGTGGACACCGATATGACGTCCCGGTGTGAGCGAGAGGCTATTTAAAGCGCTACTTTGGACTATACAAAGTCCTTAGACGCCTCGGGGATCTTAATTACGAAGTGGTGCTCTACGGAACGCAGACATCACCGCAAAGCCGACCGGGACCCGAGGTGGTTCACGTCTTTCGACACAAGCGACTCTACGCTCGATAGGACTGCGGAGTTTAGCGTACCAAATGTCTCTAAAGTTTACGGTCCTTATATTTTCTTTGCTTTGTTTTGTGTTGCATCGCGCCAATGCACTTTTTGAGGAAAGGGGGGGGGGGGGGGGTAGTGCTCCGTGCCCGGCTGGCCAAGTAGGCAGGGCACTCGTAGCCGAACGGTTTCCGCATGTGGCTACTCGCAAAGAGCCGTGGTTCGATGCCCAGAAGCGGAGGCGCCTTTTTCTTTTTCTAATTGTCGCGTTCTGGTAAATTCGATAATTCTGTTGCTTGTTTGAGGTCAGAATGTTTGACGGGCAAAATTTTCTGCCCCGATTGTTCAAAAAGCCCACGCATGTACACAAGGACCTTTGAGTGGCGAGCAGGATCGGTCTTGCCCAGCGTTCGATCTTGCTCTTTCGCCGCCATTGACGCGTGCGACGCGTCTTTTCTATATTGTTCTGAGCAGAAGTTCGCCCCATTCAACGTTTAGTTTGATTCAGTTTTCGTCGCCGCATCGTCGCCGCGCATTCGTGACCATATAGACGTTAGTTAACTTTCCCCCAAAATCGACTAGGTACTCCATTCCTCATCTTTTGGAACCATGATAGTGAAATTTTCCAGCCGATGGGGAATCATTTGATGCGCTCATATACATTAAATGGTCTTAAGAATGCAGTAAATCTCTAATACTCATCCCCTAAAGGAACTTGTAAAAGGTAAAAGTCCTTTACACAGGTGAATACTAAAAAAAATGCTGTACTTCCGCCTGTCTCATTGATGATGTTGTCGATTCTCGGCATCGGGAACGAGAAAATTTATGTTTCACGATTGATCACGCGATAATCTGTTCATAGCTGTTGTGATCCGTCTTATTTTGGTTCATAGCCTGCATCCAACAAGTCTTGGAACTCTTTCTTCAGCCACCGTTCCTTTCTAATGACAAGATGTATGGTTTCCGCATACCCATCAAATTGTCACTCGGCAGCACGAAGGGTACTTCAATAAAGTAGTGGCGGGTGGGTATTTGCCAACATATATCACCTCTGGGAAGTTGAGGAGTATATAATCTACCGGTGCGGTAGATGAGTATATCATCTAATGCACCGGCAATGTTTGCATAAGATACCTTAATGATATCATGCCAGTATATGTTGATATGCATTCTCGTCATATCTGCAGAGAACGTGATAAGTCATACTTCAGTCCATTAACCACTAGAGCTTCGGTTGTATTTGTTTGCACTCATATTCAATATTGAAATGAATAAATATCTTGTATATATTTTTTTACCTACGTAGCTATGCTCATTGCCTCTACGACCCTCAAGAGCCTTTCAGTACTCAACCGCCTCTTGGCTGACTATTCTCACTGACTCGCCGCTCTCGACAAGAGCCTTTAAAACTATTCCTTTTACATCTATGTGCCAAAGTGATGACTGTGACAAGCAGGCAGTCTCTTTTGTTATCACTGAGCGGGACCGTACGCCCTCGTCTATGCGATTGTTTTATCTGGCATCTGCAGAATATCGCCTTATCCCAGTTCTTCACGATATTTTCTGAAAACACAGGTGGCAAACTCTTTTTGCACTTCTCTCAAGAGTCATTGAGAGGGCCAGTTAAGTACAGTTCACACCACTTTATCGCCATCCAAGTGAGAAAACGTCGCATGTATTTTAACTCGGTCGTCATTAGAGTGCCAGCCGTTTATCTGGCAGGCATACTCACAGAAGGACAGCCACGCGTCAGAGTTTGTTGACTGGCCATGAAATAGCTCAGGTTTACCATTTGAAAGCGTGAATGTTTCTGGTTTCTTGAAAGCCCCACAATAGCCTGAAGAAGTTGTTTGTTTTTGTGTTATTTGTTGTTGTTTCGCGTGTAGGGATCTGGTAGACCAAGTAGTTAGGGTCTACGGGGTTGGCACCACCTGCGCTTTGAATTCTTCTTAGAGCAGAATCGCCTTGGAAGTTGCCTGAAGACCAGTCGGGAAACCGCTGTCGGGACTGCTGGAGAAGTTTTCTTTTGGTGCATTCTGAAGACTTCACAAAGCGAAGTCGGCTTGAAATTTGCCTCGAGAACTGGCCGGAAAGCCGTCTTGGGGAGCGCTTCATAAGTCGCATTAAACACCGACTGGGAAGTCACCTTGCGTACTGGCTTGTAAATTGTATTGTGGACGTACTAGGGTATTGTCTTGGGTGGGTTTAAAAGATATCATTGAGGAATGTTTTGGCCCGCCTCAATGGCGTCCCTAATCGAGGCCTCGGAATATGCTGCCCTTACGTTGATCTTTAACGTATTTTTCCGTATGATAGCATCATTATCCATTCCTGATTTTTCACAAACGAGTTTAATGAAATCTGGAGCAGTGGCCCGACCTAGTAGCGGAGACGCCTCTTCTTCTTTCGGCTTGCCAGACGAGAAGATCAGCACACCTTGGACTTTGTCTTATGCCGTGAGGGTAATCCACATAATAGCATCCTGTCGACTGCGGCAAAATGTAACATTACCCCTTCATAATACAAAATCGGCTATGATATAAGTGGCTTTACTGAACCGTTCGTTTCCCTGATGATTATTACGGTATACTTACTTTTGATTTATTTGGTGACATCTTAGATATACAAAATGGATGTTGCTAAACCGAAATGTTGCAGAGATTTCTCGCGTCCGTCAGTGCATTGCTGAATCGTCTTCAAGAACTAAGATGTGTCTTATATTAAGTACGTTACCTGGCTCTGTTGATTCGCGCCTTATTTTTCAGCATACAGCATAACAAAGCTACACCATGCTAACTATGTGTATTTTCTTCTATTGCAGTGTGGAAGCGTTCGTCACAGCTGTGGACACTAAAACTGACGTTGCTGCTTTCCTTACCCCGTGTGGTACCAGTTGTCCCGAATGGCTTCATTCGTCTTGGCCTCATCGTTAAGATAGCCCTTGAAGACGTGGGGACCTCGGGTGCACAGCTCTCCCCCCGTGTTCACGGGAACAATCCTGCCTTCGGCGTCCACAACCTTCACCTGCAGTGATAGAAGGCGTCGTATATTTTGTGAATTTTATTTTGAAGGACTTACTGCGCAGGAGTTTTCCGTACATAAACCACTCTATTGAAGTAACGGCAGTATCTTATAATTGAGTTAATTTCAATTACTCTCCTATGTTTGTAAGTAGTAGTTTACTTCAATATCTTTTTCGGAGTAGCTTCCAATTAAATCACAGTATTCTTTCAAAATCTAACTGTAGAATTTCTCATCAGAAAACGCTTGAGCATCGAGGTCCCTAGAGTGAGGAAGCCACAAAATAAAGACTATTCAGACAAGCTATGCATTCTAAGCGGTACTTTGCCTGCGTATTGTTGCCACCAGGCGGAAATGCCCTCAAAGTCTGTCGAAACGCGACACGAAAGTAAAGGTGTCTTGGAGGTTCGCAAGTGGTGCTGACTAATCGCTGAAAGAAGCTTGACGGCGCTATAAATGCAACTCAGAATTACAGGAAAAAGGCAGCAAGGAGAGAACAGTCGGTAACAGGTTGAGAGTTCAGGGGAAACACCTCTCACCCATTTGACGTTATCAAAGCAAACAGCGGAGAATAGGCGACCTCCTCTCCAGCGCTCGCTCTGCTAAAGTGGAAATAAGTAGGAAAGAGGTTTCCCTGAAGAATTAAAACGCCACCGACTTTAGTGTTCGTGAGCTGTGGCGTTTGCGCCGCAGTATGGAGTTCCTGTGTCGCTTAGATCACGGGCGGAGACAAAAACTCGGGGTATTTGAATGAAGGACTTTCTCTTGTATGAATTCGCTCACATTAAACACAGGCATATCCACCCACAGCAGGTGATAAAATTAAATTCCCGTTCTGACGCTGGCCATATTTTTTTTTTTTTAGTTGAGTTTGAGGTTTTTCTGCTGCTTTGTGAACAACACAAAAAGGACGAAGTTCTTTTTTAGCAATTTGTCTTCAAAGTTCGAAGTTCAAAATCAAAGCTCACAAATATTTGGGCAGTAGCGAGGAAAGAGGAAAAATCGGAGAGAGCAAGCCTGCACCTTCGCGGAGGAGCCCTGTTATTCCCTTGGGTTGCCTTTTCTTTCCACAAACCAGAATTTGTAAGTTTTTAAATACTGAAAACGTTCGAGAGGCATTACAAAATTCACAAATCTGCTACATAATAAATTAACAGCAAACAAGCGAACAAAGTGGCTGGAGTCCCGAACTCAAGCATAGCAAAACCTCAAACGAAAAACGGCACATCTCCAATGTACGCTAATACAAAGAGTCAACCATGCACAATGTGTTTTTAATATTCATTGTTTTCATCCAATTTATTGCCTCGTTAGAAGGCCATTCTAAGCTATCAGGATGTGTCTTCGAGAAAAAATTGGGCACATTGTGAGACAAGAGTTTTGAGTGAATTGACTCTGCGCGCTAATATGAAGCAGTTTGTTAGGCTAACGGGACTTCGCTGCCAAATGTATACTCAGGTTATTTTCGCTGCCATAATGGGTAAAATAAATATAAATCGTAAGTAACTCGCCACATTCTGACGGTTGTTAGTAGTTTGCTTCCTGACTATTGCTATTCTTTACATTTTACTCGACTCAAAATTACGTTAAACGCTGATACTGTACACGTTTTAACCTAAAAAAAATACGAAGCTTTGCGCATTTTTCATACGCCGCGCTAAGTAGTTCTTACAAGATTTGATTGCCGGAAGAAGAAGCGATGCTTTTAGCTGTTGAAACGGGTACGTCTTGATATTATAAGATAAATCTACTCTAAAATGTGCCTACATATATCTTATATGTTTTCATAAATTTGGAAGTTAGTAACTCACCACGCAGAGCCGGACTTTTTTTAATACGATTATTTGGGTGAAAATGAAGATAAGAAGTAACTTAATTTAGTTGTTTTTTCAACAGCATTTAGATCTACAGCTGCGGATGGCATAGTAACCATGAATGTAAAATTCATGGCATCGTAGCCATGAATATAAAATTTATGGCATCGTAGCCCCGACTATACAATGTAAGAAATTAGTCGCATAGCTTTCAGAGGAGACGATGAAGCGATAAAAATAATATACGTCAGAACGTTATCTGCATATGTTTTTATTCTGCCGAGGATACACTGTAAAACACGCTTTGCAAATGTTATCAAACGTTTCTTTAGCTGTTCCAGATATCAACTCCTTGCGACATATGTGGAAGTACTCCGCAGTGATCGTGTGTCTTTGTCGACCGCTATGAAGCCGGCAGCCCTTTCCCGCTTGTCTAGAGGCGGACCGCTTCATCAGACACCTAAGAATAAGACAAAAAATTCCCATGGAGTTCACAACTCGTACTTAGCGAAAAATAACGTGCCTTGCGAGAAAAATTAACAAGCCTTGTATCTGAAACGAATATGTTAAAACCTCACTGTCACCAAGCTAACTTCAGTGTGCATTCTTAAAGCAATAAGCAAACAATCCCCAGGAACAGTACATCCAATCACATATGCGGGTCATACTTAACCGATCATACAACTTTCACTGCAATACATACAATACAGCTTTCACCCCACACCATTCCAAAAGTCCCAAGTTATGTTCGTCAACCCGTTCCTCCGTCGCTTAATTTCCAGCTATATTCAGCAGGAAAATTGATGTTCCGTTACCGGTCATGAGCCTTGTACACAATTTCAGATTCCACAATAAATTTAGAAGAATAATTCACGTCACGTGACCTAACCTCTGGTCTCACATACACCAGTTCAATTTCCCGTCTGAACTTCAAGGTAAAATTATTGACGCGTGACTTGACTCTAAGTGACCTATGCACAAGTACAGTTTTCCCGCAGACTTCGATAAAAACAGTAATGCCACGTGACCATGTCGCGTGATCTAAACAAGAAAAACATTTTCTCACTAAATTCAGCGGGAAACTTTACCACGTGATAAGACGTCAAACCTTCACACCAATCGGTTTCTCGGCTACACTTGGCGGAAAGTTGATATCATGTGACCTACACGCCGAGTAAGTTTCTCCTTCTAATATAGCGTGAATATAAACGTCACGTTACCTGAAATGACGGACGTACACACCCGTTAATTTTCCCAGCTAAATATGGCGGGAACATTGATGTCGCATGGCGTATTCAGCAGGTCGCTTTCACCGCTGAATTGTAGGATTTGAGGCCTTTCATCACTCCACCCGCCGTTACTACTGTTTCGTGTATTCTAGAAAGAGTTGATACCAACTGCTACATATCATGCATCATGGCGCTGAACGTAAAGGTGGCTGCCAATATCTAAAAACAAATTATCGCCAGAATTAGGATACCTGTGACTACGACGCATCGGTTTCCGTAATGCGATTGCTTGCCCTTTCGGAACCACTTTCGAGGCACGGGAAGAGAACGGGGTGCAAGTTCGTCTGCTCTTGACGCACCTAGTGTGACCGCTCACTGACCAGATGTACCCCCGTGCTCTTATTTCCCCCCAATCTCACCCAATAATGGCAAGAGCTTTTTTTCTTCCTCATCGCTCGTTTCTTACGCGTTCTTTATGTTTCTATCTGGAGGGCATGCGTCTCATCACGTTCTAATGCGATCTTTACCGTGGCGAAGTTCCTTCAAGCTTATGTGAAAACGCTCTGGACGTTCTTTTTACTAATCTTGAAACTTACAATATTGCAATAGTGAGCAATCCAATTGTTTCGGCCGATATATGGCATGTTCCATTTTCCGTTAAGGTAGACGTGCTAGTCTCGTCCGTGAGCCACAAAAACATATTTCGGTTTGATTACGCCAACGGCTCACATCTTGACTTTTATCTTTTCCTTGCTGCGTATGCGTGGGACGACGTCCTTCGTTTACACTCGATTGACGAGGCGGTCACTGCTTTGACCAATATTTTTATGACCGGCATGCACAGCTTTATACCTCGTAAACAAACTGATCGATCAAACAGATATCCCCCTGGTTCTCTCGCGAATTAAAACGCGTAATGCGCAAAAAGTTACATTTGCACCGTCTTTACCGCACAACTAACAGCAGCGAAGTTTGTGACAGGTTTAAAATATGCCGAGCCACGGTTAAAGAACTGTATAAGCGCGATAAAGAGGGTTATCGTAGACAAGTCGAAGGAAGTGTTTCCAAGCGTCCCCAGGATTTTTGGCGATTGGTTAAAAAGCATACTCGAGATAGGTCGAGTCCTGCTCCACTTATGATTGACGGAGCATATTCTTCTGATCCTGATAAGATATGCAATCAATTCGCAAAGTTTTTCCTGTCCACCTATTCATCAGTCAGTGTCGAAAACACAGAGATTTTACTAACTACTCTTAACCATTTTCCTCCTCCGACAATTGACCTTGCAGACTTTGTTTGGGCAATTCATCAGCTCCCATCTAAAAAATCTTGTGGCCTTGATGGCATACCGAATTTTATAGTTAAGGGGTGTGTCGACCTACTGGCTCCCATTCTACACCACATATTTTCTATGTCGCTGAAGCAGTCTATCTTTTCGACCGCCTGGAAAAAGGGCTTGGTAATCCCTCTTCCTAAATCAGGCACCTCAACGAATATCACAAACTATAGAACGATATCAGTGCTTTCCGCATTTTCGAGGGTATTCGAAAAAATCATTCATAAGCATCTAACACACTGTTTTAAGCACTTAATCCTCGAAGTTCAACATGATTTTTTGAGCGGCAGGTCTGTTGAAACAAATCTTGCGTGTTTTTTAAATGATGTTGCTCCAGAATCTGTTCTCGAGAGCAAGTTGACGCAGTGCATTTTGATTGTAGCAAGGCATTTGATCGTGTAAACCACAAGTTACTGTTACACATACTTTCTCTTTCTGGTCTCAGCGACGAGTACTGTTCTTGGTTTGAAAGTTATCTTTCTGCAAGAGAAATCTGTGTCGGCTACGCAAATGTTAGGTCTTGTTTTTTTCCTATGCCATCTGGAGTACCCCAGGGTTCCAATCTGGGACCTCTTCTTTTTAATATATTTGTTAAAGATGTCCAAGACATCATTCGCCATTCGAGCCTCTTGCAGTTCGCTGATGACCTCAAGATATATAAAAATATTTCGTCATTAAATGATTGTGCTCTACTGCAGGAAGATATCAACGCCATCTGTCTATGGTGTAAAGATAATGGGCTTGATCTTAACATCGGAAAAACAAATGTGATATCTTTCACGCGTAAGACTAATCCAACTCACTTTCTGTACTGGTTAGAAAATTCGTCGATTACTCGAGTTACTGTTGTGAAAGATCTGGGAGTGATGCTAGACTCCAAACTCAACTATAACTCGTACGCGACATACGTTGTGAGCTCTTGTTTTTGTCTTCTCGGTGCAATTTCAAGATTTAGTAAGTGTTTTTCAAGTGTTTACCTTTTCTACGTACTTCATCGAAACATAGTTCTTCCAAAACATGACTTCTGCACTGTGATTTGGAACAGCCTTAGTGCTACAGCTTCCAATAATGTGGAACGCGTACAGAAAAGATTTGACAGAACTTATCATTTTAGATCCCCATCACACGATCTATATGATTACAACGAAGTGCTTAGACAATTGCAAATCACTAACCTTGCATTAAGACGATGCTCGCGCCACCTTTTATTCTTGTTTAAATGCATACATTCTAATCACGATATTAGCTCAGGTCACATCTATTAACTATCATATACCCGGTAGAAATGTTCGTTCTAGTCGCACTTTCCACGTCAATTACAGCGATTTCACGTCACCCTCGGGCCGACTGCAAAACTACTTCAATCATCTGGAATCAGATGGCATTGACATTTTCATCCCTAACCAACTTCATTTTAGGAAGTGCTTGCTTCATGTATTGAAATAATGTTCATGCTTTGCAACTATTCAATTCCTGTGTTTTTCCTTTAGAGGTGTGTGAGGCGACCATACTTTTCTTGTTTGCGTTTATATGCTATCTGAAATGTTAAACAAACAAACAAACTAACAGACGCGTTTTTGAGCACTTCGTCGCCGAATGGGATGCAAAATGTACACCTCAAAGTTTCCAGGCACCGTAACATAGTGACAAACGAAAAAAAAAGACACTTATATACACAGATGCAAACAGGCACACACGCTTAGCTCCGACAAGGCAGTACCCCATTGGGATATTGGTAATGCAATTACGTAAACACGATACGCTGTTTAAATAACTTCTCGAAGAAGTACGTAATTTGTTTATTACTTATGTGCGAGTCTCGCTTAGACGCAGACTTCGTTAAGCTATGACTGTATTTTATTTACATTACCTCTTTTTTTTATTCATCCATGTATTACTCTGCCTGTAAATGGCGAGGAAAACACTTGTTTTTTTTTTCAGAAAAGAGTTTCAATGTGACTAAAGGTGAAACTAAAACACACAAAGCTTGGAATAAAACATAAATAGATTATGCGAGCCCTGAAGGCAGGGAAATGCCTTGAGGAATAGAAATATCCGCCGTTCAAAAGGGAACTTGTGAAGTGCAGAGTTAGATTAACGAAAATAAGATTTCGAAATAACACAACTACCCTGCAGACATTTTCAAACTTAGGAATCGGAAGGTTCGCTATTTTACCGGGAATCGGAATCAAAGCAGACAAATATGTTTACTACGATGTCGAAAAACACCAGCAACATGAAAACTGTTCAGTCATGTTTATGAGCGAAAATATGTCATTATATGGACACGTGCACAATTACAGCTTACGAAAATCGAATAAAAAAGTGGCTGTTACAAATATCTCCGGTAAATGTTTCATCGCTTTCCTCGTGATCAGCTTGGTGAAGCAGAAACTTCATGACTTGGATCTCAAATTGCCATGGTTGCAAAAACTATTTCGCTGCATGTAGAGTCACTACATACTTGTACTGATGCTCATAACGCCTGAGACACATGTGCAGAAGATTTCAAGTGAAACCGTGATTTTCCTGTGCCTTTCCGAAATTTAGTACCTGAAGTCATTCCTCTTTCAGGCATACTACCGGGCGACAATTTATGAAAATGTTTATAACTCCAGCAAAACATTCGAGTGAATATGGATGGCAGTGACTATTCCTGGGGTTGTCGAAAGTGGGCAGCGCCCGCTGTTTACCGACCTCAACGTGGTCCAGCGGTGTCCCAATAGTCCGAATCCAGAGATTCATTGGCTCATCGGGATTCGTGCTACTGAAGATTGGACTGGTCTCGGTAGCACCATACATGATCTGAAAGGTCGTACCATTTTGAGGCACCAGGTAGAAATCCAATAAAACTGTAAAGCATGGCGAGTGAAGAGACGGCTGAAAAAAGTGTTTACATACGTATAAACCTTTTGCGTTCATCCTCGTTCTTATCCTTTCCACAATGGCAGGTTTACACACGGACCCAGACATAATCGCTGCGAAATAAATAACAAACGCCAAAAAGTATTTAAGACATAAGTAAATACAGGTAATTAAAGATAAAACAAGAGCAGGGTTGAATGAAGGCAAAGTTTAGAGAAAAACCGAATGAGGACCTGGCAACACCAGGGAAGCCGTCACCATACGAAAACTCTTGATGAATGCAGTACAGCAGAGTGGCCGTGAAATATACGTCGCAGTCTCATTAGAGTGTTGACTCCGATTCCAGATTGCTATCAGACACTAGAAAGGGAACCGTGTGAAGAAAACTGGCGCCGCTGCCGTCGTTATGTAAGTGCTACCTAATAGCTCAATGTTGTGACAGCGTTCGGCAGCACGCTAATTTATCATATGTTATACAGGGAATGTCCATGTTCAGCTAGACGAGAACAGTTCTTCAGGGGCGATTTTATATAAAAAAGTACAGGATAAAAAAGTTAACTTTCATAGACTTTTCAGAAAAAGGCTCTGCTGGGAAAATTCATCTCTTGGACGAAACTAGAAGCCGATTTTTATGTCATACTTTTTATTTGTGTTTTTTTTTCTTTGAATGATCAAAGACGCATTTTGGTGTTTATGCGATCGTCACAGGTCGAGTAGAGTATTCTGGAGATTCGTCAAACTCAGATACCCTCTGCATGAAGGAGATCCTTTTTGCACGACTTTTTAAACTACATTAAATGCAAATGTATAAAAAGATGTATTTATGTTTACGAAAAAATTCAGAACCTTGCCTCCTTGACGATAATTTACTAAGTGTGGAAGATATATTTTATAAGGTTCAATTTTATGGCATACATATTAAATTAAAGCTCTATCATGCACCTATTTGCCAGTACAAGGTTGTTAAAGACAAAGATCTTATCTTGGCCAAAAAGTCCCTTGAATACAAAAATAAATGTAAGAAGTTAAAAATTCGACATCATTTTTTAAAGACCTTAATTATATATATATATTGCATGAAGAAGCCGCGTGACGAAAATATCGAATTAAACAGGTGTAATATATAGTTAATATTTATAAATCCGCTGATTCGAAAATACGGTATATTTGAAGTTATATCTTAAGATGCAAAGACAGGTGATGAGCCATTTTTTTCTGTTCGTTAACTACTTCTTGGCACTTACTCGATGTGTTGGCGGGTTACAATTTAACAAATGACGAAGCATATTATGTATAGTGTATGCTGGTTTTAATAAACACGGCCATCTTGTTTAGTTAAAAAAATAAAAGATTTCACAAGGAAAGCATTTCCCTAATTGAGTAAAATAAATCACGACTTTATAAATATCCCTACCTGGAAGTCTTCTTCGGGATACCGTGGCATCAGGGACAGCTCTTACTCATGGACCGAGAGGCTTAGCGCGAAACTTCGTCCTTTTTCAACTGCCAGTTCGTCACGTAAGCTAAGGCTAACGAGAAGCCGGGCTTGCTTAACCCTCCCTATTTTTGTTCCCTAAAAAAAGCTCGCATTGGTTGTTTTGGCCATTTTCTCGTTATTTAAGGACCTACCGTTCAAACTACGTGGTGTCGTTGTGATCCCAGAATATAACCTAGCATGGCGAAGTTATTCCAGCTACTGCATGGACAATTTTAACATTGAGTAGCCGGCAATGAATCAATATTTAGGTAACTTAGTGGCGGCGCAACGTTTGAAGAGCACCGTACAAACAATTACATAAATAACTAAAAACGCAAGTTCAGGCAATTTTTTTTGTGACCCCAAAGCAACGTTAAAGTCGGGTAAAGGTTGACTGTTAAGTATCAATAAATAGGTTTACATAAAATTGAGGGATGTCCCTATTTCCAGTTTTCGTCCACAAGTACCGTACCGAATAATATTGACATGTATAAAAGCTTTCTGCTATTATTTTACGTCGCAGCAGTGGGCCACATGTTCTGGATCAGTTTTTGTGAAAAAAAAGTATTTCTTTTAGTCTTCTGTGGTGACTATCTGAACAATGTAATCGTCATGTTTTTTTTTTTTTTTAGTTCCGTCCACCTGCGGTTCTTTCAGAAGGTTTGATGCTTGAGTGGTCCCCCCATGCCGCTACCGGCACCTGACACCCCCAGCAGGACGTCACAGCACGTATGGCTCACCACCACGACTCCAAAGAATGGAAAGCTCTGAGTTTTGTGAAGAACATTTGGTAATGCCACTTAAGGACGAAAGCTCAAACCATTAACGGGTATCTCAATTGCATGCTAAACAAATAGCTAAGTATTGGGAGTAATGTTGCGCCCCGCGTTAACAGAGGTGTCCTGTGACATTAAACCCTACGTGAACTTGAGTTGCCATATATTCGATATAATTGTATGTATTCATGTCCTCTGCACGTTTTCCTTTTTCTAAACAAATTAACGAATGTCAGTAGGTATGGACACGCATACATTCTTACAAGGTTTGTTGTCCGTGGAGACGCGAGAGTTGGAAAAGGCAAAATGTTTATGCTAGGGCCGTCGGCACATGGAAAATATTTGGTCTCAGTCAATTAAGCTATTATTTCGGATAAACGTTTGGAAGTGAAATGTCTCGAACTTAGCACGACGCGCTCAACGTATTGGCTTTTCACACGTTTCACCGCCCGCACTCCTCAACGCACATACCTCTACACAGATGCCAGTACGACTGATACTCGCACGGCAATAGCGGTCACTGATCATCATTTCACTACAATACACACCGCCGTTCTTCCTCCCATGGACCCATGCTTGGCGGAACTACACGCCATTGCAGCGGCTATCACATATACCTCCTCAGGCTCTTTTACCTCGTCTATTCCCATCATATTCACCGACTCTATGGCCGCCTGCCGGCGACTTATACACAACTCGCTTCCGCTTGCCATCGCAGAACAATTAGAACGCGACCTACTATCACCCGTTGAGGTTGTTTGGATACCAGGTCATGGGGGCATGCCGGGCAACGAGAAGGCAGACTTGCTCGCCCGCGAAACGCTTCACCGGGCACCCGACATCCCCAGATCTGCCCAGACTTTTCCCGTGGCCTTACCTTCCCTCGAGTCATATAGACGAGCCCGTCGAGTCTTTTCCCCCCTTCACACTCACCTCACACGCCACCAAGGCACCATCCTGCGCAACGCCCAGAGTAACACTCTTCCCACCCCAGCCCGCATCCACCTTCTACGAGGTCTACTTCCTGAGGATCTTCCCCCCTGCATCCACTGTGGCGACCGCCCAAATACACATCACATCTTATGGATCTGTCATTTTCCGCCTCCACCCCTCCCTAACCCCGCCTCCCTGTCCTTCCCCCCCAACCCCGAGTGGCTGACTACGGCCACCACATTATCGGACCGAATTTACCTGGCTGCGTACATCCAGTCCTCTCTGGAGTACGCCACCAGAGGGGGCCTGGACTGAGGCCCCCTGCTCATATTCTTTGGGCATAATAAAGTTTCATCTCTCTCTCTCGAACTTTTCAATTCTTATAAGCGAATTTAAGGAATACATCTATTGGTGATTTAAGTTTTGTGAAGCTAATGAATTGGGCATGTCTAGCGAAACCTTAATATATTACACATCATATCCCGCCTATGCGTCAGAACTTTAAACCTTTCGTGGTTTTTAAATGCATGGACTGATGTGGCCAATCTATATAAAAGATCCGATTTTCATTGGATGCTTTAGACTATAGCGATGGCACCTTATACAAAAAGAATGGAAAATACTTAAACGCACGATTACACTATTTTAACTTCGCACACATTTGCAGTTTTTAATTGTTGCGTTGCTTATCCTACCGAAAGGGATGGAGGAACTGCCTTATTCTTGTGAAATATCGCGGTTCCGTTGTGTTAGAGCAAAGACAGAATTATATGCTCAATCTAATGCTAACTTTCATAAATATTAGCGTTTCACCATGAATAAAAGCGCCAGAAACACCCCATCGCAGCCAAAGTTGTATTATATTTTGTCTTAGTGGCGCCATCTGCTCGAAGTGAAAAAAAAAATCTATTTCTTCCTTGAACACGTCCGCGTTGCAACTACGTCGGTGTCAACTTCCTTAACGAAGGGCGAGGCAAGCTCTTCGCTCTCTTTCTCTTTCTCTTTCCCCTCTCGCAATCTCCCCTTCACTCAGAATAACCTTCAAGGTGTCCATGTAAAACGTAAGTAGACGCCGAGCGCGCTGGAGACTCTGAAAGAGAACCCAACCGGATTCTACGTGTCTCCATCGCCCTTCACTGCGCACGCGTCTCAGAAGACGGTGAGAGAGTCGAAAGCGGTTGGAAGCTTCTGACACGTGAAGTGTTTTACCTTTCTTTTTTTAAAGAACCAACGTTCGCAAGCATTTTTTAGTTCTTTAATCCAGGCGTGACAGGGTACAACTGCCACCATTATTTGATCGAAGTCCAAACATTTTTGCATGACCCCATTAAAAGTGTCTCTCTTTCCAAAAATTATGTCGAAACTTTTACTTTTAGTCTTAGAGTTTCCTCTTCTATTCAAGCTTGTTTTTCGACAATATAACTTTATTTGAGCATAACGATCCCATGCTTGTGGAATAGGCATTTTTTCAAGTTTTCATTTAATATATATTTTAAAAAATAAAATTGAATGTTACAACATTCATTATGATCCAATCCTGGTAACTTATCGCAAAGGCACTCTTAATTTTCGTTAGAAACAAATAAAAATAACAACCTTTCTATCAACATCTTGCGCATTGAATGTAATTTATAAATCTGTGTAAACAGTTTTTTTTTTGTTTTTTTTTTTTTGTGGAAGGCGTCAGAGCCCTTAGATGCTACCAAATACGCGACCTGTAACTTACGCCCCAATTCAAAAATTCGTCTTCGGTCATTTAGAAGTAAAAAAAAAACAAAAAAAAACTCGAGAACTAGAAACACGATGCAAACAAGGTTTTCAGTTTTCTCGTTATGTTTTTTCTTTTTTTTTCAAAAGCTTTTGAGACACAACCCCTCTTCTTATGTACGATTTTGAATCAACTTGTCATTAGACATTCATTAGACGAGTCCCCAGGAACTGCCTCATCGCGCAGTCCCGCTCCACAACATTTTTCAGTCATGGTCGAAAATACAAACAAAGGAGCGCGTGCCGGATGGATGAACGCAGGGATACGGCTGAATCCTTTAATTCGGGGGTTATAGATATTTATTCTTAAATTTAAAAGCTATATACGATATACGATCCGCACGACGCTGGCGACCCTCTCCAACCGAGTGCCCACTCCTTCGCCCTACGGGTCGCCGGAAATGGAATAAGAAAATATTCATTGCTTCCTCGACCTAGGCCAGCAATCAAATCATTCCCTCTTGGTTATCTCCACCTAGCCCATTTCTATGTTTACCTCACTATCCCTAAATCCCAGTGCATTTGGTAAATTAGTCGCCACTTCAGCGATTACGGCCTGAAATCCCTTACTGTAAAGTATCGAGTGCTCAGCCGTCTGCTCCTCCTCTCCACAAGCTCCACGCGCCGTATCTACTTTGTGTTATCTAGCTCTATATGACCTAGTCCACAACACTCCCGTCCTCGCCTCGAGCATTACGAGCTCCCCCAAAAATTGTCAAACATTGGCTCCTTATTGATGTCTTTCTTAAACAATCTCGACATTTTGAAGGGCGATTTAGTCTTGACGCCTGCTTGCAATATATCTCTCTCAGTTCCCTCAAATCTCATCTGAACTTTTATTTTCTCACCTGCCTCCATGCTACTGCCCACATATTTGAATATAAGTTTTTATGTCCGCTGTCTTCTTTTTGTATCGACGCTTGTCATGTGTAATTACCTAAAAAAATATTCGTGTCCATTTTTCTGCATCTATTTATTTTAGCCTATCATAAATTTCTGTCTTACTGCTAGCTTCCGTTCCCCCGAATGAGGACCTTCCTATATCGCCCTGCACACCTTAGTTTGGTGCTTTACTCTGTGCTCCCAGAGTCAATCTACCTACTCCACGTTGCTTTATTTTTAGCCTTGTGTGAACGTCCGATTTTATGCACAAAAACTGCATACGCAAAAGTCAGGTTCGGAGCTATAACTCCTTTCCAGATCTTCCTCATTACCTCATACCTGCTATAGTTCGAAAGCACTATATATTTGTATTGCAGCTCCATTTGTGTTGCCCTTACCAGTTACACATTTTGCGTGTTCCGTGAAGTATGCTATGTCATCGTTAGTCTCTATTCCTAGATACATCTAATAATCGACTCGCTCAACATCTAACCCTCGAATGTTTTAATTTGCCATTCCGTCACCAATGAACACTATGACCAATGATTTGTCACTACCGAATTTCAAGCCTAAGTTGTTGTCATCTGAGCCCATGTATTCAATAACGGCTGAAACTTTATACTTCTATCGGTTAGTAGCACTATGTCATCAGCATACATGGAACCTGGCATCGACTGATACTTTTTACCTCGTCTTTCAAAAAAAAAATAAAACATATTTTTTTATTTTCTTGTTCTAAATTTTCATTATAATTTTTATTGCGCTGTAGTCATGAGCGTGCAACACCATCTGGACATGCACCATGGTGGTACATGTCCAGCGAGGTTGTAGGGTGTTTTAGTCAACGTCTCAATACCGTGCCCCCGATTCCGGCCGACCGCCAATAACCGTGTGACCCTATAAAGTTCCCATTTAATCACTAAACAATAAAAGCGGTCTTGCCCTAGAAGATTCCAGACTATGGACAGCTAAGGAAAGCCGATGTCGGACAGGAACTGTGGCCTTTTGTCTCCGCTGTTCCAATAATTTTTCATACTTTGTGTGATTATAAAAGCTTGCCCCATTAAAGTATTATTTTTAGTTTCACGATCCTTTGTTATTCGAGGCTGTATGTCGCAGGGACAGGAGCGTGGCCATGGAGCGTCACGTAGCCCACGCTGGTGATGCTTAAAGCAGCGACGCCAATTTTTATACCGAAGGAGCGTCTTTGTAGCTGTCTGATAAGAGTCAACTTCCCCATTTTTGTTCAATATTGTAAAGAAACATGCCAGTTCGAAACGCTTTGCCGCCTTTAGGGCATTTCGTTGTCCAGGGGTGTCGGGCTTAAAGACCAGCTGACAAACTCGACGAACCGCCAGTTCGCCATGTGACGCGTTAGAAAGATGGCCGTATGCCACATAGTGAAGTTCGCTCTTGTGACGCAGTGATTGCCTGACATACGGCGAGTGAGACTTTCACACTACGTTTCCTCGCCCACGCTTTCCGGTAGCATTTATATCGCTGGCCCCCACGGAAAGTTCTCATTTGTAACTAGAAACAATTCGGCCTCCTCCTTTTCCGCAGTGCGCGTCCTCCTCTACTTTTTATGCCCATGCACGGGTCATGTATTTTTTCGCTTCTGCGTCATTGAACTACGGGCGGTGTGATATGCAGTTTTCTCGGTGGATACGCGCATGTCGCATTTGGCTCCGCTCTATGATAGATATCAGACGCTCGCTGTATGTTCTCCGGTTGTCTTTATACAGCGGCACAGCCTCGCAAGAGAAAGGACTGGATCAAACCGGATATTACTAAACAGAACCGGTGGCGCACCAAAGATCGGCGCGTTCGTCATGTCGATGATGCGCTGAGAAAAGAGAATAGTGTTTCACTTGGGACAGAGAAGCAATGCGGGCTTGCATTGCTACGACGAGGTCCGTCTCAACTTAATCATCAGACTATGATAATCATACAAAACACGTCTAAGTTGCAGAAAGCCCCACTAAAACCCAGCCTCGTTTCCATTTTTACGAATTTATTCTTGCTTCCATTAGCACCTGAGGTTAAAGTGAACTGGGAAACATGTGCAAAACACCACCGGAAACGTACAAAAATTAAGAAGTTGAACAGACAGTTCACACATTGTTTTCATTAAAGGAACCACTCCAGTGTCTTTCTAATACGAATACCGTTACGTTCTTTTAACGAGACCCTCTGTGCAGTCTTCTTGCAGTACGTTAACTAATTTTCGCTTGTTCGAATGTTCGCTCGATTTAGTGCATGTGCCCGATTTTTTATTCTTAAATAATTACCAAGAAGGTTACAAAAGAGACTGCGCAACATTTACTTTAGCTTCCACTGAACCAGCTGCACGAGGATGAATCCAACCATAGCGCTATTAAAACACGAACCTCGCGCTTATGATCTGCACAGTAGTCACGGTTTAGGTGGTCCGAAATATAGGTGGTCTCAGAAAGTGTAACCCTGTATAATTATTAGATAAAACTTCCATACCTTTTCTAACGGACGAAACGTCGTACGATCCTTCTTCAAGCTCACGCAACATATCAAAGAACATGGTTGCTGAACCGGTGGCGATTGTGCATCTGGAATGTCGAGAGTATTTTTTAGCGGTAAGCCAGCGATCCATGAACGATCAAGTTTAAGGTTTCGGTTCATATGTGTAGTTCCTGTACGCACTTTTCAAATTCTAACTAATTCTCCGCGCTTGCGCATGACAACCAAAACTGAAGACGCCGTTCTTCTCGACGTCAAATGGCACATTAGCCCAATCGTCTAGTCAGACCGCATCGTTTGAAAAGCTTGTAAAGTCGATGACGTCCTTGAACACGCAACAGTGAGATCTCCTGCTTTTACAGAAAGAAGACCTCAGTTTGAAAAGTGCCTCTAAAACTTAGGTGACCATAAGATATGGTAGTCAGTACAGAACTAACGAGTGCGCCAGATTATTAGAGTGAACAGTAGGTTGAATATTAACAGCATGGCTTAGTAGCTACACTAAGACCTCACTGCCACCGTACGGGCATTCGTTTCCATACCAAATAGGTCATGCAAGGTAATATTCGAAATCCTCTGAAAGGCTCGCGTTACCTGTGCTCTGTGATAGCTTCCAGGGTCTCATTTGGCGTAAACTTAGGTCCCGGCAATAGAACAGTGGAGCCGAACATCGTGGCAGCAAACACGCCCAGTGTTCTGCCGAATCCGTAGATCAAGTCTCCGTTCAGGCACATGAGTTCACGCTGCAAGCAAGAACCCAAGAAATATCCACGTGTGTTTTGTACAGCTTTTCATTTGCCTGAGCCTTACCGATGAAACGCTTCGGCTGAATAATGAAGTCAGTCCATGTATCGAACAATTTCTGCACATTGAGATGGTAAAAAGCGTGTCGAATGCGGAAAATCATAGTAATGCTTGAAGATGTGTAATACTAGTTTATTAGACCAGCTTAAATTTCAAAGGAAACGCAAGGATCTCGTTGATTTCCACGCGAAAGTGAATAAAGTCCTAGATGTCTGAAATTATTTTCTCTTTAGTTATGCTATCACTGAAAGCTGTAATTTTGAATATCATTCTTGTGACATCATAAAAAAGACGAAGTCGATTTGTTTTTTTTTTAAGGACGGCGTTGAAAGATAGTTTAATTTTGCTTTAGTTCTCCGTTGTTGACGAAAATGTTGTTGTTCTGGGGTCGCCTCAGATTGGAAGATGGCTAGGTTGATTTCGCCTTGGTCAACGGATATGTAGAGAAGCACAAGGACGCACCGGGTGAAGGTTACCGATAAAGGAAGTGTCACTTTCATGCGTAGGATTCATTTTTAAACAAAAGATGGTGCGAGTGAGAGAAGAGCCGTTTTTTCTTATTTGAAAAAAAAACAAAAAAACAGAAACAATCAAGCAGCTTATATAGTTCCATCAAGACTCAACTAATCAACGTCATACATGCAACCAACGCGGTTCCTGTATCTTGCCGTTATGCTCATAATCGCTATGTATGCAGCCGCAATGATCACCGTACTTTTCGCCAGGCTTATAACATGCAGCGATCTACAGGTATTCCCGCTCATTTTAATCCAAGCGACGACCAATTTAATCCCGGGGTCACTCAATTTAATCCAAGCGCCACATAATTTAATCCCGGGGTCAGTCAATTTGATCCACAATATATATATACGCACTTATTGTCTTCAGTGGTCGTGTTTTGCTTACACATTTGGTACCTTAGAACAATCGTTTATGCACTTAGAAGTTTTGGCGGGCAATTGATAATTTGATCACTAATGTGATTACTTTGAGTGACTAGTCCCACTATTGACGAGGCTTAATTGATATGTTGGTTACTCTTTTTAGAGCACAGCTCTTAGGCACTCCTTTCCGACTTGAGCGGCGTCGGCGTCGCCGTCACCGTCGCCGTAACCACGCGGTCCATGATGGGTAAATTCCCCAGCTAAATTTAGCGGAAAAAGTTTCCCCGCTAAATCTAGCCGGAGTATTTCTTCCCTAACCTTAGCGAAAAAATTTCACCGCTAAATCTAGTGGAAAATTTTTCCTGCTAAATCTAGCGGAAAAGTTTCCCCGCTAAGTTTAGCGAAAATTTTTCCGCGGTAAATCTAGCGGAACATTTTTCACGCTAAATCTAGCGGAACAACTTCCCCGCTAAAAGTCGCGGAAAATTTTCCCCGATAAATTTAGCGTGGAAATTTTCCGCAAAATATAGCGGGAAAAATGTTCCGCTAGATCTAGCGGTGAAAATGTTCCGCTAAATTTAGAGTGGAAAATTTTTCCGCTAGATTTGGCGGGGAAAATTTTCCGCTAGACCTAGCGGGGCAAATTTTCCGCTAAATCTAGCTCAGAAAATGTTCCGCTAGATTTAGCGGAAAAACTTTTTCGCTAAATAAAGCGCGAAAAAGTTTCCGCTAGACCTAGCGAGGAAATTTTCCGCTAAATTTAGCGAGAAAATTTTTCCGCTAGATTTGGTGTTAAAAATTTTCGCTAGATTTAGCGGGGAAATTTTTCCGCTAAAATTAGCGGAAAATTTACCCATCACGCACCGCGTGGTTACGCCGACGGCGGCGCCGACGCCGCTCAAGCCGGAAACAGGTGCCTAAGATAAGAGCTGCGCTCTAAAAAGAGTAACCAACATATCAATTAAGCCTCATCCATAATGGGACTAGTAACTCAAGGTAATCACATTACTTATCAAATTATCAATTGCCCGCCAAAAATTCTAATTGTATAAACAATTGTTCTAAGTTACCAAATGTGTACGCGAAACACGACCACTGACCACAATCTGTGCGTATATATATATATTGTGGATTAAATTGACTGACCCCAGAATTAAATTGTGTGGCGCTTGGATAAAATTGTAAGGCGCTTGGATTAAATTGAGTAACCCCGGGATTAAATTGGTCGTCGCTTGGATTAAAATGAGCGGGAAAACCTGAAGATTCCACAAAGGCGCCATCATAAATTAAATCGCTATGCCTCCAGTCATTATGTTTCTACCAACGTGCTACTATCAGTTGACCGTCGGAAATAACCGATCGCTATGTCTGCAAGGTAAAGAAGCGCAGGTATGTTGTGGCCGGCTTTTAGCGTTCTATCCCTGCGTCAGACGTTCCCGGTGACATCCTTCCACCGAAGAACACAGGTCAGCTTTGCAAATTTTTTTGTTGTGGATTGTTCAATATCCCCCACCTCCACGATCCGTCATCGAGAGTAAACCTACTTCAGCCACTTCAACCGCAGCTGTCAGCAAAGACCCGGTCGCGTTGAAGTTCAGAGTCCAAGAAGAAAAGGGCGGCTCTTTTTCTACGTCACCGAGCCAGCGACACCAAAGACCGCCTCTAGTTGCTACAACCAGACGCAACCGCCACCGGTGTCGGCAAAGATGGGCGAAGCATGAAGCTCCCCCATCTTCGCCACAGTGGGTTCCGCTTCCGCGGCTTCAAAGACGCGGCGGCGTGGAGGAGGAGCTAGCTGGTCGGCGGCTCGTTCTACGGATTACAGGACAGCTGTTTGGCGGTCCGGTTCTTCTTCGACTCTGGATCTCAACTGGACGGTGCCTCTAATAGTTCAACCAGGCGTGATCAGCCTGTGTCAGTGCGGCGCGGCCAGCTGACAGCACCCGACCGCCCAAAGAATTGGCAGTTAGCCCTAGAATCGTCACGGAACTGAAGGGGTCAGTGTGTGAAGCGGTAATCGAATCTCGTCCCCTTTTCGTTTTACTTTCAAGCTACGTTAAGAGCGCTTCAATCTAAACCTGTGCGAGAAGTGCTCGTGACAATTTTTAGTTAGAATAATTCTGCTTAATCACGTTTTTTTTTAGTTTAACGAATGGATAAAGCAAACCGATGAAAGAGGATTTATGCTTGAAAACGATGTATACTGCTAACTTCTACATGAGCTTCTTTAGAAAAGAAAACCGTGGGTATGGCAGAATGAAAAGCTCGTTGCAATGCAGTGGTAAGCAGTTAGAGAACCTCTCTGAACCGCTTGTAAGCAATTCAGCGAACAACAGGAGGAGCGACGGCGGCAGGCTGCTGGAGCCAGCGACGAGGGACGGAGGTTCTTCACTTTCGCTCGTTGCGTCGATCCTAGAGAACGTTGCTGATCGCCTTCGTCTCTTGCCCCAGTCGCTCTCATGCGGTTTGCCTCGTCGCGTGACTCACGGAGTGACAGCGGGTCGTCGTCGCCATCGCTTGTCTCGTCGCTTGCCTATTGCTTACATGCGGCAGACTGCCCTACGCTTTTCTGCACCGGTGCAGAAAGTGCAGGTAAATCAAACGAAGCTTTTGTACTACCTTAGCGTTATCTCGGCCTACTGATAATAGTGCTTGTTTTAACCCTGTTGACCACATTTCTGCAAAATAGGGGCTGCCACTTGCTAAACTAAAACGGTTCATCATATAAACCAACCATTCCAGTGTTTATTTAAGACACATATTTGACTTTAAAAAATCATGATATCCTCGAGTTTCTAGTATAGGAGTCGGTTTGAAATGATTATTTTTGTTAATTTACTTTTTGCCCCTGCCCCGCCAGATGAAATATCTGGCATAAGCAGTGCTGTTTCGTTGTTGTTTTTTCTTTGGGGGGGAGAGTCTTGGTCGTACAACCCATGAATAAGGCGTGTGTCACAGGCGTCTTCCTGAGGCTTCTCAACAACCGGCGGAATCGAGAGACAGGAGCTCACGCTTCAGTATGGCAAGGATGACCGCCGTAAGCAAACATCTTGTTCTAACATTTGCTCCAATCCACTTTTTGGAAATGAACAATTTGCATGCGCGCATCTCTCGATCCTTCTGTAGTTGGCGTTAAGTATATTGAGCTGCGCTGCCAAGCTTAGGGGAGCTTCTGCAGTGTTCCAAGTCTGTTCATGCAAGTACCTCTAGACCATGCAAACGAGATGCAACACTAAACCACATGCTCTCGCAACAGTGTGGGACTGAATCACTGTGGAAGCTACTCGAGCCTTGACAGGGCAGTGCAAAATAGTTGACGCCGAGTATAGTTAGGCTTGAGACTCCGTGTTACCAGAAGCTATACCAAAACATATGTGCCATTTTATGCGTAGTGCACGAGAGCCACGCTTCCCTAACCTGGGGAAGCACGTTTTCTTCCACACGCCCATTTTTTTCTTAAACTAGTACGTTAAGCGTCCTTGATGTGTTAACATCAGGGGACACAGGAAAATACTGCAAACCGCTTAATGCTTGCGAGCCGTTACTTTTTGCGAATTTAGCGAATTGAAAATTTCGTACAATTAAAGGGCTCGCGAAAATTTTAGTCCTTAAGAGTTCCAGTGGGGCCACTAACTTCGCAAAATTTAGTGGCCGAGATTATGTCTTGTGCGTTCGATTTGCAAAAACAAGGAGCCGCAAAAATTAAGGGTGTAACCGTATGTCGGAAAAAAGTAGATACGGCAAATTCTTCGCCTACAAGGGTAACACCGACTACAACAAAGTTGCCATCGTTGTTCTGTGAGCCTATTTGCGTTTATTGAACGCTATGAAATTTATTTTATTTTAATAAACGCGTTCGCCTGTACGGCGGGGGCTGACGTCTTCCACCTTAAAATTATTTTCCCTCTCAAGCGAGCAGAACGGACTCGTGCAGCAGCACAGCAGAATTTGTTTGTAGGTTGTCCGGCAGTTTTAGGAGTGGTTCGCACAATCTGTGGTACACACGACTCAGTGGTCAACCTTAGGCGTGACCGAGATTTGCTTACTCTGGAAAT